AAGATTGATATGGAACAGGCTTACGACTGTATGTCGTGGGCCACCCTTCAGCAGGTCATGGATCGGATGGGATTCCCGCACCGCTTCACGAACTGGGTAATCCAATGTATTTCCTTTCCTAAATTCCAATTGCTTATTAACGGCTGCAGGACGGAGTGGATCGAAGGTCTTTGCGGCTTTCGGCAGGGCTGCCCCCTCTCACCGTACCTCTTCATTCTCTGTTCGGAGCTGCTATACAAGGCTTTTACCCAGCACGGCACTTCTCTTGGTGTTAAAGTTGCCCGTGATGCTCCGCGTGTGTCCCACCTCCTTTACGCCGATGATATTCTCATTTTTGCGGAGGCTAGCGGATCGAATGCTAAGAAAATCAAGGAAATTCTTGCAAATTATTGTGACTGGACCGGTCAATGCATCAATAATGCGAAATCCGCAATCCTCTTCAGCAAGAGAACCCCGGGCTGGAAGCAGCGCCGAATTGCCAATGACCTTGGCTTTAGACGGGTCCAAGTTATGGAGTATCTGGGGCTTCCTCTTGCCATGAGGAAGTTGGTTGCTTCTGACTTCTCCAAAGTCCTTCAAAATGCTCATAAGAAGACCAACGCTTGGGGGAAGCGGCATCTTTCCTTGGCTGGGAGAACGACTCTGATCCGAACCTCCCTCCTCTCCACGGCCATGTACCTGATGACTCACTCTTTGGTCCCTAGCAGCATTCTTCAGAAGATTGAAAAGATGGCTAGAGACTTTCTATGGCACAAGTCCTCTACACAGGGGGGGCTGCACTATATCCGTTGGGACGTGCTGTGCCGCCCGGCTGCTGCGGGTGGGCTTGGCTTCCATGCCTCCAAGGACTGGCAGGGCCCACTTCGGGCTAGGCTGGCGTGGGGGATGCTTCAGGAAAAAGACTCACTCCTTTGCCGCATTATCACGGCCAAGTATGGAGATAATATTTGGCATTTTTCGGGTGCAAGGGGTGCGTCCAGTGCTTGGAGAATTCTTTGTGATGGGGCGGCTGCTCTCCGGCCTGTACTTCATTGGGAAATTGGTGATGGAAGCCAAATTAATATTCTCATGGACAATAGGATGAATAATTGTGACCTGCAGCATTGGCCGTCCTTCCTGGATGTCTCCGCCATTGAGGGACAGTCAATTAGTTGGCTGCTTGATGAAAATCTGCAGTGGAGGCTCGATCGACTTGCTGAAGTGTTTGGCGAGTCGCTGGCCCGCCGAGTTAGCTTAATTCGAACCAACACCGGTGATGGCACCGACGTCCCCACTCTCGCCCAGTCCCCCCTTTCGTCGACGATTACTGCTATGGCCTACAATGCCAAGATTGGCTGCACGGATTACAGTTACTATTGGCTCCGCAAACTCAAGCTTCATCCGCGTGAGCACTTTTTTTGGTGGCGCCTACTGTTTGATGCGATCCCAACGCGAAGCTGGCTGTTTCGACGAAATCTGACTGATCTCACGTCCTGCCCGTGGGGATGTAATTCGGCTGAGTCCATTGAACATGTGACCATCACCTGTAGCATGCTGAAGCTCACGGCTGCTGTCCTCGCCAAGTGGGGTTTCGTTCTGCCCGACTTCCGCTCCTGGGAGGGGCTTCTTCACGGGTTGCAACTCTTAGCAAACCAGAATCCCAGCTTGGGACGGCTTTATTGTTACATCATTTACCAGCTGTGGAGATCCCGCAATGACAAGATTCATGGCCGGTCTTTCTGTACGCCCTCGGTAATGGCTGCGAATGCATTATCTATGCTGCCGAAACCTTATGCTTCGCCTGTCTTGGAGCAATGGTGTGCCTCTCAGCCCCTCGGGCTGCCGTCAAACAAACTCTGGTGCACCCCCCCTCCGGGTTGGGTAAAGTTTAATGTGGACGCTTCTGTGCTTCGCTCAAATGTGACCGGCCTTGGTGTGGTTGTTCGGGACCACCTGGGCAGACTTCTTCAGGCTGCGGGCACCATGGTCGAACAATGGGATGTTACTAATGCTGAAATCATGGCAGCACTCTCTGTTAAAGGGGTAATTGAGCCATGGATGCTGGACCTTGACGGCATCATCATTGAGGGCGACTGCCGAAATGCTATTAAATGGTTACAAACGTCATTCGACCGGCGTAACCGAATCCACTACAGTGCCGAGAGACCCGACCTCAGTTTTTTGCTGGACTTCAAGCAGGTTCTCTTCCACCACATTCCTCGGAGCAGCAATCTCCCGGCCGACTTTTGTGCCCGTATGGCTTGCTTTGGTGATTTTTTGTGGAAACATGATGATAATAGTGTTATTCCTCTCTCTTTTGTGTCTTTATTAAGAGAGGATAGTGATAGAGCTTAGCCTGTTCCTTTTGTACTTTTTCCATTTACCTTTTTAATGCAAATGCAGCAATTCAAGGAACCCAAAAACTTTGGGAGGCTCTTCATTTGTTCTATCTTCTTTCTCTCACTAGAGTGTTTTTAGAGAGAGAAGCTCTAGGATGGCTAGAGGGCTGCGACTGCGGAGGCAAATGCGGCAGCCGCGCGTGCTGCTGCGCTTGCGGGCCATGCCATGGCCGGTGGGTCTGGCTTGCGGGACATGGATTTGGGCATGGAGGACTGTCCTCCGACTCCAACCAACTGGGAAGAAGCTCTGGCAGGCGATGTGCTTATGGATAATGCGGTGGAATGTGTTGTTCCACCGGAGTTTCCCGTTTCTGCTGCAGGTGTGGAAATCCCCTTGGAAGGAAGAGCTGTTTTGCCGGATCAAAGTAACAGCACACAAGGTGTTTGTGCTTTTGCGCCTAAGGGGGCAGAGAACGGGATCTTTGGAAATCCGGTTGGCGGCACTTCGCGGGACAAGCCGGCGAATGCCTGGAAACGCCCCGAGCATATACGGGTGACCAATGCTGTGAAGAGGGGCCAATTCTCGTCGGATGGTGTGTCCGTTGACCTCCGGCTGGAGCTTGTGGAGCGAAGCATTAACATGTTGGAGAATGCCATTGTGGGGAAAATATTGGGACGCCGCCTCCCATTCTTTGTTCTTGATGCAGAAATCCGACGGCAATGGGGCCGGTTTGGGGAGATCCAACTCTCCACGATTGGCACAGACTGCTTTGCTTGCACCTTCAGTTCGAAAGAGGCTAGGGACGCTGTGTTATGCGGGGGGCCTTGGTTTTTCAGCGGGAACATTGTTGGAATGGATCGTTGGACACCGGAGTTCTCCCCAAGTTCTCTTGCGGGCCTTTCATCGCCGGTTTGGATCCGGCTGCCTCAGTTACCGCTGCAGTATTGGGACCAAGAAAATTTGATTAGAATTGCATCCATGCTTGGAGAACCACTTTGGATTGATGCCCAAACCGGCTCTAGGGGAAGACGGGAATATGCCCGAATTTGTGTCAGGCTCGACCTATCGTGCAAACTTCAAGCCGGAATTTGGATTAACGGTTGGAAGGGGCGTTTTTTCCAACACGTTGAATATGAAGGCCTCGGCCTATCCTGCTTCGGGTGTGGGCAAGTGGGGCACCGGAAGGAACATTGTCCTTCCCGTAGTACTGAGAACTCGGCTGGAACGAGCAGCGTGCCGGCCATGGGAGGAATTGGGAGGACCCAGCCTCGTGGAGAGGGACGTAGCCCAGCTGCTAGTGGCAAATCCCCAACCAGTGCGGAGAGCGCGGTGGTTGGCATGATCACGCCCTGCCCTCCGGCTCGGGCGAGCAGACCAGACACGGGTATGGTGGCTAAGCCTGCTGAGCCTCTGGGCACTAAGGAGTCTGACGCAACCCCGAGTACATCCAATGGGGAGTCAACCGATGGCTTGTCTGGCTTGACTGAGGATGAGAAATTGTTTGGCGCTTGGAATTTGGTGGCCCCGAGGAAGGGAAAGAAACCACTGAAGAAGGCTGAACCGGTGGGTAAGTTGCCCCTTGGGGAGAATACCCCAACTCAAGTCAACCTAAAGGAAGTTATGGCACCGAGTGCGGTGCGATTGAAGGAGAACTTCAGACCAAGCAAGGGGGATAAGCGGCCTGGGCTTTCGGAACCATTGTTGTTCTCGGCCGGGATATCCAGGGAGTCCAGCCGGCGGCCTGCTAGGCCTAAGCTGGGAGCGTCCAAGGCCCATTTTGATAAAGAACTACAAGCTTTGGGGCCAATTGCGGAGGCCCCGCGGAAGCGACGGAAAGACGGAAACACACCTATAAGCGGCGGGGACGCTTCCCCTATGGTTGCTTAATGTCTTCGACCCTATTCTGGAATTGCAGGGGGGCCCGGAAGAAGTGTACGGGTAACTACCTGCGTCACCTGGTGGGTGACAACGACATTCACTTCATTGGCCTTGTTGAGACTAAGGTTGAGAATTTGGAGCGTTCTGAGGTTGATCGCCTCATTGGGACGCGCTGGGACTTCTTCCACTTGCCTTCGGTGGGTAAGTCTGGCGGTATTTTGGTGCTGTGGCGGCGTGACCTCGCGACCTTTCAGGTGCTGGCGGCCGACGAGCAGGTTGTGGTGGGGGCCCTTTCACTTCCGGGGGGACAAAGATGGACTATTGCGGTAGTCTATGCCAATAAGGATTATCTTCGCCGGCGGGAGTTATGGCAGCTTGTCAGTTCCTTTTGTGATTCGGGCACCCCTATCCTTGTGGGGGGTGACTTCAATGTGTGCCTTGACCAGTCTGAGAAGAAGGGCGGTAAGCGGGTCACCCATTCGGCTGGCGTGGCCGAAATGATGGAGTTCATGGGCTGTAATGACTTGCATGATCTTGGCTTTGTGGGACCGAAATACACCTGGACTAATAATAAAGAGGGGAACAGTCGCATTTGGGTTCGCTTGGACCGCGTCCTTATGAGCTCGGATGGACTGCGGATTGCCCCGTTTGCCACGGTTAGGCACATGGGCAGGGTGGCTTCGGATCACTCACCGTTGCTGCTCACTCTTACGGTGCGTAGTCCTGTTAAGATGGAGAAATGGATCCGTTTTGAGGATGTTTGGACTACCTTTCCCAGCTCGTGGCGTGTTGTTTGGCAGAGCTGGCGGAGAAATGATTTTGGCTCGCCCGCGGAGATTATCAATCGTAAATGCCACCGGACGCTTCGGGCACTTTTTCATTGGAGCAAGCACCGGGTTCGGGACTTAACCAGCCAGAAAGCAGCTTTGGAACGCAGAATTCTTGATCTCCAGGAGCTGGATTGTGCCCCGGCGGGGTTGAATGAGGAGCAAGAGGCGGAACTTAGGCGGTGCATTGGGGAGCTTAATGACACGTTGACCAGACTTACTATCTGGTGGCGTCAAAGGGCCAAGACTCGATGGCTGGAGGAGGGGGATGCTAATTCCCATTTTTTCCATCTTGCCGCCTCTGGCCGAAGGCGGGAGAATCGCATCAGCAACATTGTAATGGAGGATGGCCGGGTGGTCAGTGATCCGGACAATATCAATGAGGCATTTCTTAATTTCTTCAAGGATAAGTGGCGTGCTCGGGACACCAGTCTGGTTGGCTGGCCGACCTTTGCGGCGAATGATGGGATCCCAGACAACTTCCACGATCTGCTCGTTGCGGATGTCACGGAGGAGGAGATTTGGGAGGTTGTCCGTGGCATGGGTAACAACCGTGCCCCGGGGCGCGACGGCATTACGACGTCGTTCCTCAAATTTTATTGGAACCTTATCAAATCTGAGGTGGTGGATGCCATCCGAGACTTCTTTACGACCAACTTTATGGATGCTCACTGGAAGGAGACGCTTATCATCCTTATTCCTAAGGTGGTGAATGCGGACAGCCCGGCTAAGTTCCGCCCTATTAGCCTCTGCCAATCCCTATATAAAGTGGTGGCAAAAATTCTTGTTGGGAGGATGAAGCCGGTGCTTGCCGGCATTATCGGGGAGGAGCAAGGGGCATTCGTCCCTGGCCGTTCGATCTCGCAGCACGGGCTGCTTGCCCAGGAAATTATTTGTAACTTTCAGCATTCAACTAAGGCGGCGGGGCTTATGGCACTTAAGGTGGACATGGAACAGGCTTACGACTGCATGGCGTGGAATACTCTTGAACGGGTGATGATGATCATGGGCTTTCCGCAGCAGTTTATTACTTGGGTAATCCGTTGCATCTCTTTCCCAAAATTTCAATTGCTAATCAATGGCTGCAGGACCGACTGGATTAATGGTGCGAGTGGGTTTCGGCAAGGTTGCCCACTGTCGCCCTACCTTTTCATCCTCTGCTCGGAGCTCCTTACGAAGGCTATTTCCCAGCACAGGCAGACGCTTGGGGTTCGGATTGTTCGCCAGGCCCCTATTATTTCGCATCTCTTGTATGCGGACGACGTTCTTGTCTTTGCGGAGGCCAATGGGAGCAATGCGAAGTGTATTAAAAAGGTGCTGGACAATTACTGCGGCTGGACGGGGCAGCGGATCAATTGTGCGAAATCGGCCGTCCTCTTCAGTAAGAAATGCCCGCTGTGGAAGCAGCGGAGGATTGCGAGGGAGCTGGATTTCCGCCGGGTGCAGTGCTTGGAGTATCTCGGGCTGCAGCTTGCTATGAGGCGGCTGGTGGCTGCTGATTTTGCCAAAGTGGTTGGCAAGGTTACTGAGAAGGTGAACGTGTGGGGTAAACGCCATCTATCCCTTGCGGGTCGCTCCACTCTTATCCGCACCGCTCTGCTTACTACGCCCATGTACCTAATGACTCACACCGTGATCCCCAAGGGTGTCCGTGACACTATTGAGCGGATGGCGAGGAGATTTTTATGGCAGAAGGATGCGAACAAACGAGGCCTTCATTATGTTCAGTGGAAGGAGCTTTGCCGCCCTATGTCGCATGGGGGGCTCGGTTTTCATGCGTCTAGCACATGGCAGGGACCGCTGCGGGCGAGACTGGCTTGGGACTTCCTCCGCAACGGTAATTCCCTCTTGGCTAGGACGGTCACGGCGAAATATGGTAGAAATTTGTGGTGCGCTAAGGACGGGCGGAATGTGTCCTGCACATGGAAAATTCTCCAGGACGGAGCGCTGGCCCTCCGTCCGATCATCTATTGGCATGTTGGCAATGGGTCGGACATAAGTGTGCTCCATGATGCATGGATCACCAATAGGAGTTTGGCGAACTGGCCGACCTTTGTTGACATTGAAGCGGTTGAGGATTGCACTGTCCGGGACTTATTTGATGAGCAAGGGAGGTGGCGGGCTGCTTTGGTCCTCCAATATTTTGGGGAAATTTTGGGTAATCATATTATTGAAAACCTTGCGCGGGGAGAGCTTGGCATTGATAGACCGGAACTCATTAATCTTCCCCTTGGTACTACGGTCACGGCTTTGGCCTATAAGGCGACGATCGGGGAGATGTCTTATCAATATCTTTGGTTGCGGAAACTCAAGCTCCACCCGAGGGAGCATATGTTTTGGTGGCGGCTGCTTCTGGATGCTGTCCCAACGAACACCTGGCTTAAGCGGAGGGGGCTGACCGACCTTGAGGATTGCCCTTGGGGATGTAATCGGCCTGAGACGACGGAACACTTGGCTGTCCATTGCGGGACGCTGGAGCTCACTTTGAATATCTTGAATGGATGGGGGTTCTTCATTCCCCAATTTAATTCCTGGAACTGTTTGCTCGAGGGCCTTGCCCATTCGGCCAGCAACAACCCGAGCTCGGGTAGACTGCTTTGCTGTGTTATCTATCAGTGTTGGCGGGCAAGGAACGACAAGAGCCACGGGCGGTCCTTTGGTACGCCGACGGTTATTGCGGCCACGGTGCTGGCCATGCAGCCTAAACCTTATTCTTCGCCGGCTATGGAGCAATGGCACACCTCTCAGCCCTTTGGGCTGCCTCCGAACAGACTTTGGTGTGCCCCCCCTCCGAAGTGGGTTAAGTTTAATGTGGATGCGTCTGTTAAACCCAATGCTGTGGCTGGTCTCGGTATGGTGGCTCGGGATCACCTTGGAAGGCTTCTCTTTGCTGTGGGTAAGAAAGTGGAACAGTGGGATGCGACGCGTGCTGAGATCACGGCGGGCCTGCTACTCCAGGAGTCCGTCCAAGGGTGGATGTACGACCTTGACGGCATCATTATTGAGGGCGATTCTCACAATGCGATTCAGTGGCTGCAGTCTTCTTTCGATCGGCTCAATAAGCTTCACCTTCAGACCGAGGGACCTGATCTTACGTTCCTTCTGGACTTCCGCCAAGTCCTATTCCAGCATCTTCCTCGGGCTAGTAATGCACCAGCTGATTTTTGTGCTCATATGGCTTGCTTTGGTGACTTTTATTGGGATAACTGTAATATTACCGATGTTCCTCCCTCTTTTTTGTCTCTGTTA